ATAACTACTGGACTGCCAGGGAAGTCCTGGGGTTTGCATTTTAAATGTGGTGGTCAGAGGAGGTGATAAGGAAGCGAAGATCTGAAGGTCATGAGGGCCTGGCCTTGGGATGAGGGTGCAGAGGAAACAGCAAGTACGAGTTTCCTCAAAGGAGCTTTTGTGAGAACTCCACTTCTTCTGTGAGTGATGAGCCAGTGCGTGCTTTCAAACCCTTACATGACAAGTGTTTATTTAATTCAAGAACCAGAGAACCACCAGGATGAAAGCCTTTGAGGCACTGAGTAGTGGTCCACGAGGAAGGTCCCAGCTTTACTCAGGAATAGAGTTACTGGGTTAAAATCAAACCTAGGTAATGTCCTCCAAGCCAAAAAACCAAGGGTTATCATGTCTACCAGACTAAAATCATTTGCATCTTCTCTGGGGAAAAAAAAAAAATCTTCAAGTTACATGTAACTTGACAGGGTCTGGGTCCTAATCAAGAGTAAACTGGGGGACTTCCCTGGTGGTTCAGTGGCTGAGAATCTGTCTGCCAATGCAGGGGACATGGATTCAATCCCTGGTCCAGAAAGATTCTACATGCCATGGGGCAAGTAAGCCCGCAAGCTGCAACTCCTGAGCCTGTGTACTCTATGGACGGTGGTCTGCAAGGAGAGACACTGCAATGAGAAGCCCGCTCACGGCAACAAAGAGTAGCCTCACTAGAGAAAGCCCACGCACAGCAACGAAGACCCAGTACAGCCAAAAGTAAATAAACAAAAATTTTTTTAAAAAGAGTAAATAGGAAATAAAAGACAGACACAGCCTTGGAGAATTTAGATACTCTGTGGGTGGGTTTGTTAGACTGTGCTCAGTATGATAGTGAAAAGCTAGGCAAACCTCCTTTTGCTTTCTTTACAAATGTTGGATACTTTTTCTTAACATAAGATACAAATTTACATATTGGCAGCTGTGACTTTCAATTTTCCAAATGGAGTTTGCTTTTAATATTAATCTGCTTTTCACCATCTTGTGTGTCTGTTTTCAATCAGGCAGGAAAATTACCAACAAGCAATTCTAGAATCATAATAATGCTATATAAAACCTAAGTATATTTTAATACTGTCTTGATACCCACCTTGATGGATACTAAAACATTTTATGAGCAATTTCAATTTTGCATCGGGACCAAAAAAAAGGAAGACCAAATCCACATATCTGTTTCGCGCTGAAACCAGCAACAAAAAACTAATTGATATTAACAGCAGTTTTGAATTTCATACGTGTTTGGGACATAACTTTGGGCAAGTCGCTGAATTTCTTAGCGTCAATTTCCTCCTGCGAAAAATGAGATCTTCATCACTTTGCCGACGTGTGTGTGTTTGTGCTAACAGACACAGAGCTGGCATTATACTGTAGTGCTCTTTTCACCCTGTTAAACGCATATTCACAGGTCATAATTTCTGCTTTTGTGGCTTCCTTGTAGGCTTTTTCTTTTTCATCATGTCTTTTGCAATGTGGACGTGTCCTTCCATCTTCTTGTTACTTTAATAACAATTAGGGGGTTTTTTTATCCTACCAGTTGCTTTGTTTTTCAAAAAAAAAAAAAAAAGATTGTATTTCTCATCCTTCTTTCTTTTCATAAAGGATGAAATGATGTAGTGGTTTAAGTCCCCTTAACATTAAATGTGAAATTAAATAAGTCTCAATCTCTCTAGGTCTCCTCTGCCTCTCCTCAAACTCCATTTTAAACTGGAATCCCTTTCCCATAATTTAATGTCATATTTTTGAGAAATACAGAAAACACGACAATGTGCATTTATCTGGAAGCTTTTAAAATTACACACTTAGCTCATGTACCAACTGTTTCATTACCTCTTCACTTGGCTCTTGGAAAGTAACACCATATGTTTGTCAGTAATTTGTTTTTTAAAATAACAACCTGTTCACCAAAACACATTAAATAAATATGCCATAAGAAGTGAAAGTTCGGCATCACAGCTTCAGGCAGAGACATACCTCCTGGTTACTCCACACAAGTTTCTAGTCGGAGGACATCACATGAGCCAAATTGGAATCATGCTACTTATTTGGATGGAATCAGAAGAGACAGCAGTTTTTAAGACTCTTCCATCTGTTTTGTGAGTGTCCTGTTAGGTGTTTTGAAACATTCTCAATGCTTCGCCTTTAATTTGCCCAAAAGTGTTTTTCTGTGTTATAACTTCATGAAATGCAGTTTGCCTGCCAGAATACCATAAGACCCAAAAAGCTTGAAAAATGTAAGAACAGTGCAGAAACTCCAAATATACTTAAAAACCATTGAAGTGTACACTTTGTATCTCAATAAAGTGAGTTTTTTTAATGACATGGGGGTGGGGAATGAGTAAAGGAAACATTATATAGTTTCTGTAACTGTTGTAAATGTAATTGTGTAATTTCAAACTAAAACTTATATAAACTTGTCTTTACCACTCAATGGATATATTTTTCTATCTGCAAAAAGCATTTAGGTATCTGGGCTAAAACGGGATTCTTAATTTTTCCAACTAAAATTAACATAAATTTTTTTTCATTTCATGGCTTTTCATTTAAAAGAAGTATTTTTAAGGACAAATTAAAGTTGTTAAACACGATGTGGGTTTAATTACTTGAAACATAGAGTTAAATGTTTAAGAGGGATTAGATTTGGCAGAGCTGGAAATACTGAGTGTCAGTGTAAATGTTGGATTGATTTTCACTGCATGACAGGGTTGAAATACAGTATGTCCACTGAAACAGGCTAATGTCTGCAAAATGGGAGAAGGCTAAGACTATGTATAGCGTGGTGGGTGGGGCAGGGAGAGACCAGTGAAAGAGGAAAAATCTGGAAATGGGCAAACAGAAAATGACTAAAAGCTGACTTCGAAATTTTGTTTGCTCATCCAGCAGGTAGGCTAAGGTTTGCTATGATAAAGGAAATTCACATGCTTCATTCAGTTCCAGATTTCAGGAAAGAAACAAATAGCTCCATGTTATTTTTTTAAATATTTATCTGTTTAATTGGGTCTTAGTTGCGACATGAAGGATCTTCTTAGTTGCAGCATATGGGGTCTAGGTCCCTGACCAGGGATCAAACCTGGTGCCCCTGCATTGGGAGAACGGAGTCTAAACCTTTGGGCCACCAGGGAATTCCCACAGCTCCATGCTTTAAGAGTTAAAAGTAATTTTCTAAGCTCAAGAGCAATATATATCCACTTATTCTCTCTTACCTTACTTTGTAAAGAACAAACTATAACAATCTACAATTTTCTGCCTTGTTTTCAAAGAGAAAAACTGGAAAACAGCATAGTTTGGATACTTTTCTGGTTAAAAGAAAAAAAAGAGCTCAACAGATACTGAAATGTGGGAAATATAAATAATAACAAACATAAAACAGAATCTTTTTTAAAAGGCACATAACAAAGGTATTATTCACTCAAACAGAAATTTAGAATCTGAATGTGTGAGGTCTAAAGTTTTAAAGAAAATGAACAAGGAAATAAATAAATGAGGAAATTTATAAAGAAAATAACTGGAAATCAGTAATTCCCAGTAACCTGATGAAAATAAGTGGTCGGGTTCCAAATAAGCAAGTGCTGATTCTGAACTTCAATGACTTTTTTTCTGATAAATGACGAAGAAATGTCAAATAATAAAACCCTACAAACCAAATTTTTAACAAGTTTTTTTTTTTCATATCTAACCCCAGTCAAGAGAAAAGAGAATATAATCCAAGAGAAAATAAAGTTACTGAAGCATTTTTCTAGTATTTGATTTTCTGGGTAGACTGGCTTTAAACTCTCCCAAGGTCTATGGACTTTGGTTTTTTTTAAATAAGTTTTAAAATATGTTTATAAAACAAGTTTTCTTAAGAGGAATTTTTCTATATTTTAATGCAATTTTATAAATTCTTTAAAAGACATTTCCAACAAATAGATAAGTCATATTGGAAAATGTGAATCATCCCAGAAAGGGACTTTTTGTTTACTTTCTAATTTCATTTCCATTTAATATTCATTCACCTGCAGTCCAGATTCTTAAAGTATTTGGCCAGATAGTATTTATGAACTACAAATGAGGCAATTACGTCTTCCGCTTTATGAGATCACTTAAACTCAACAACAACAAAAAAAAACCCACAAAAAATAAAACTCTTTGAAGGCTGACGATAGTGATGGCATCTGGTAGTTATGACTTACTAGTTCTGACCCTCCTCTGGGGACACTGGGCAAACATACTCTTTTCTCTCAATTAGGGCCATTTCCATCCCAGAACCATTTTTCCATAGCAATAATAAACTAGTTTGGGAGATCCCCAGATGCAGGATCTGAATTTTTGAAAGCCAAAACTTCAACAATAAGACACACACACACACACACAAATGTAGGTGAGACATGGCTGACTCTGGCTTGTTTTCCCTTCAAATTCTTCCCAGTTCATGAAAGCCTCATCACAGCCTAATTGTTCCCTGGCAGCACCCAAATAAAACAGATTTTTTAAAAGTCTTCTATTTACTAAGTGCTTTTCGTCAGTTTTTCACCTCTCTAACCAGCCCCATTCCACTCAGAATTTATTATTCAGAGTTTGAACAGTGCTTGGCTTATATTGAGTATTCAGTAAATGTTGATGATGGCAAACATTACTGTCATTATCCAGAGACAGAAAACTATGCTTGATATTTAAACCTTAACTACCTTATCAATGATTACTAGTGAAAAAAAAAAATGTAAGTTGAATTCTTTCAAATGGCTCTCATGAAAGATGTTTATTGTTAGGCCCAAATATTATGTCTCGCTGGCCTAGCTTTATAAAATAAAAGAGTTTTACTCTCAAAGTAAATGCCATGGGGAGAAAATGAGGAGGCAACTATTGTAGATTTAAAAACACAGAGACTTAACAACAGAACGCAGTGTTAACTTGATTGACTCCAGATCCCAGAAATAAAAATCTACACAAGACATTTTGGAAACAATTGGGGAATTCAAATATGGGCTGGGCATGGATGGTATTATAGAATTATTAGTTTTATTAGGTATTATAATGGTGTTGTGGCTATAAAGAAGGCTGTCTCTGTTCTTAGACAATGCACACTGGAATATTTAAAGGTAAAGTATGGTTGATATCTGCAACTTATTTTCAAGCAGTTCAGCAAAAAGTTATATATTTAAATACAGAGAATAAGCAAATGTGACACAATGCTAACAACTGGTGAATCTCAGTGAAAAGTTTAAAAGTGTTTATTGTACCATACTTCCAATTTTCTGTGGAGGTAAAAATGTTTAAATAAAAAGTTGGGAATAAAAAATAGCAAAACAGTTTTCCTGAAGAAAATACCACACATTTCTTAAGATATTTTACTGTAATAAGATACAATTGTACATTCTTATTAATTATTTACACTTTATAAAAGCATACCTACTCAACATAGTTACTCAACCTAAAAATCAATTACGTCAAGTACAGCATTTAACTTTCAGCACTGATGCATGAATCTCTTTATCTTAAATATAAATCAAAATAGTTTAACACCAGCTTTCAGTTAAGAGACAAGGAGATGCCAGCCATTAGGATCATGAGTTAAAATTTTCAATAATTTCTTCTTTGCTTTTCTTCTTTGTCTAGAATAGTCTGTTTTAAGCTCAAAACAGCATCTTGAAATCCAGGATTTAAGTCTAATACTTTCTTGAAATCTTCCAAAGCATCATCAAAGTATCCTGTACAAGAACCCACGGGGGTGAGAGGGGAGGAATGAAAAAGAGGAAAAAAAGCTGAGTATTTCTATATATTATTCATAGTAAATTTGGATACACATACTTCTGCTTTTATATTTACAAGCTTTCAACCACTTCTACTAACGGAATTTTTTTCCTCTTGATAACGATATACCGATGTGTGTACCACAGTAACTCTGCACACCATTATAGAACAATATACTTAAAATTAGTTATGGGCTACCTATGGGGATTTAACAGGCAAATACCTTAAATCAACATAAACTTTCAATAAAATATTCCCTATTTAATACAATTACAGTAATATTAAGAAACAGGAAGTGAATATTCTTTTTAATGCTTTAAAGGAGAAACAGTTCTCACAGTCCCCAGAGTCCCAAAATCTAAAATCCCTTTACTACATATTGTCTCAATCGGGCTTCCCTGGTAGCTCAGCTGGTAAAGAATCCACCTGCAATGCAGGAGACCCCGGTTCAATTCCTGGGTCGGGAAGATCCCCTGGAGAAGGGAGAGGCTACCCACTCCAGTATTCTTGGGCTTCCCTGGTAGCTCAGCTGGTAAAGAATCTGCCTGCAATGAGGGAGAAACCTGGGTTCGATCCCTGAGTTGGGAAGATCCCCTGGAGGAGGGCATGGCAACCCATCCCAGTATTCTTGCCTGGAGAATCCAATGAACAGAGGAGCCTGGCGGGCTGCAGTCCATGGGGGTCCCAAAGAGTTGGGACACGACTGGGCAACTCAGCACAGGCGTATCACGAGTGCCTTCAAAGCTTTTAACTCAGAAAAGCTGCACAGTGGCTCAGGAGCATTACCCTCATTTCACAGCTGGGCACGCACAGGCATAAAGTAATGCGATGACTCTCACTCTGGTGCCCGGGTGCAATTCCCACCCTAGTCCCCCGCTGCGGTCTCTAATACCCATTGAAAGCCTAAAATAAATTCAGGTACACTTCCTTTGCTCCTGGCTCTAAAACTAAATTTCACCTAAGTTTCACACTGGATGATTACTACATCATTTTACAACATTTGAGAGCTCTGAATTCACAGAATCCTGTCAAGGACAAAAGAAGGAAGAAAGAAATTCTTACCCAGCCTGTACAATATCAAGCCTCTGTTGTAATAAGGAACTTCAAAACTGGGTTGGACTTCTATAGCAGATGTGTAGTCGTCCATGGCTTCGTAAAAATCAACCCTGAAGTACTTGATTTGCCCCCTGTTGTTAAATGCAGTAGCCAAATCCTCAGGGCTGCATTTGCTTTAAACAAAAAGTCCACATTAAAAACACAGTGTTACCCCTTGTTTCCACTTTCACTCTCTTTTGGGTATTGTCAAACTTCACAGCCTATAACATGCAGTGTCGACACTGCAAAACCAGGCGGAAGAAACAGAGTGCAAGGAAATAAACCCGTGGAGTCAGTTTCTGTTTAAACCCGCTGTCTACTTTTGCAGGGTTGTTTAGCACTACAATGTCAATCTAAAAAGCGCGTTCATTTTACTGTGTGGTCAAAGCTCCTGTTCACTGTCACCTTGTTTTGCTGAATGTAATATTAAAATGATTGTTTAAAGCACATGCCAGTTGGGCAATGAAAACAACTCAGAATTGAACCGAGCAAGGGGAGAAAGCCAGCCCAAAGTCCAAGTTCGCTGTGGACATGTCGTAAAATGATATCCTCAAATTTTTAAATGATCTTCAAACAGTGAGATCTGAAATCATTTTCCACCAGTAAAGAAAGAGAAGTCAGCCCTGAGTGAAAATCCAAGATACTGATCCCCAGGTGTGCTGTCTGAGGATGACCTGCCCTCCCTCCAGCCTCAGCAGACATCCTCCGGAGGCCAGACTGGCTTCCTGATAGAAAGACATCACGGCTCAGGTCTACACTGGGACTCCTGTGCATAGAAATGGCTCCGCATCTGAGGGTTCCGGAGGCTGCCCAAGGAGCTGTGAGCAAGCAGCCTTTCCTGTGAAGGGTTAGACATCCAGGCAGCTCTGACCAACCGCCAGCTCAACAAGACACATCCCCACACAGCCCCACAGACTACTTGTAGAAGGGAAAACCATCTACACAGAGAACTTCAATGAGCTCTGCAGAAAGACTCTGTATTCCTTTCTTTTTCGCAAAGGGGACTCTCAAGTTTGAACCAAACAGGGAAGGTGCAGGCTAACCTCATCTGTCAGTCTTCATGAAGCTCCACAGCGTAAAATCTAGTTCTCAGAAAATATTTGTGACTGCAGTCAGTGTTACGAAAAGTTACTTCTCTCAACATCTTAATCCTTGTGATCTCAGGCACTGTAACTACTGCTGCCAGGAGGCGTACTCACAGCCTAGGGGGTCTTCTTCAAGTTGAAGTTTCCTATCAGTGGAGAGGCATCACTGCAGTTTAGAAAACTCCTGTTTCTGTGAACTAGGACTGGGTACACAGACACTTCAGGATGCCACAAGCACCACCGTGAAATCCTAGAGAACAAGGGGGCACTCCAGTCACCAAGCCCTGTTATGACACTAGCTAAACTGCTGCCCAGTAAAGAGTTTTAAGTAAAATGCAGCCTCGGGACTCAGTAAGTTTTTAGTCATTAAATTTCTAAGCTTCAAAACTTTGTTATAGATGTCTTATTATCAGAGGATCATCAGATATTTGATTTAGAATTAGACCTCATTATAACAAATTCTCAAAGCCTATTCTCCATATGGAAATTGTTTCATATTTGAAAGACATGGGCTAACAGTTAAAGCCAAATTTTTTTAACATTGAGATTTTTGTAATGATAGTGTTTATTTTAATGGAATATAACCAAGTTACCTAATCCAAACGTAGATTTTTTTTTTCACTTGCTAACTTTAGCAAAGAAAAAATATTTGGAAATAAAGTTGATGGCTAAGGTTGCACTTTTGGATATTAAAAGAAAATGTTATAAACCATGCAGAGCGGCAGGCATGCAAAGATTGAGAATACTGTTTCAAAATGATTCAGTGACTCATTATTTAAAAATAAACGAACTCTAAAAAATATATTTAAAGAAGAAAGTTGAAAATGATAGAATTCTGTTTAACCAGGAGCTCCTAGAAGAATTTCAAAATTATAAGAAAATTTGAAGGTTCATGCAGGCTTGCTGAGCAATCTTCTACTAAACCATTGCAGATTTTCTTTCTTATGCTGGTAAGGGGCATAAATTACATTTGCCACACAACAAATCTGTGCTCTCAGGATGAGATTCACCAGTAACAATAACAATGGAGCAGTAACAATGCTATGCTTATTGCTGATAAATCCTTTTTGAAACTTACTAGATAAGTTTAAAAAATATAGCAAACTTTTAAATATAACAAAAAAAGAAGCAGACTCATAGAGAACAAACTAGTGGTTACCAGTGGACAGACAGAAGGGGGAAGGGAAAACAAGGAGAGGGGACTAAGAGGTATAAAACACTGGGTATAAAATAAGCTACAAAGGTATATTGTACAACACAGGAATATAGACCATATTTTATAATAGCTATAAATGATCTATAACCTTTAAAAACTGTAAATCACTATACTGTACACCTGTAACATATTATACTGGAGAAGGAACTGGCAACCCACTCCAGTATTCTTGCCTGGAGAATCCAATGGACAGAGGACCTGGCGGCCTACCGTCCACGGGGTTGCAAAGAGTCAGACATGACTAAAGCAACTTAGCACAGTCCAGCTAACATATTGCATAGCAGCAACTATACCTCAATGAAAATTTAAAAATAAAAAAGTGTTTTAACCTACTAGATAAGTCTATTCTTCCAGCTTGAAACAAGAATAGAAAACTAAATTTTCTGTTTACTAATTTTGGGGGGAAGGTGTGGTATCATCTTATTGCTTGTTCAAAACTATTAACTATTATTCTGGTGTACTATTGAAATGAAAAAGCCACTTAATTTTTCTGATTTAGTTCCATGTGAGTTTAACAAACAGAAGAATCTTGAGCCTCATACACAAAATACAAGCTGGCATCCGGTCAAAAAAAATCAAATCCCTGAAAGGAGAGGAGGGTGACAGGGCAGACAACTCAAACTGTCAAGAAAAACACTGCTCATTATCCCCTTTCTGGTCTTTCTTTTCTCATTCTGAACTACTAACAACAAGAACTGTTAACAAGAACAACAAAGGCAATCTTGGAGTACAAAAAATGCTTCGCATTCAGGCATAAATATAAGATACTTTGGGAGAGTAGGTATTAGCAGGTGAGGTTGAGACAGGCTGAGAGCTGGGACTTAGGACGATTTGCTGCAGTGCTTGCACCTAGACAAATGTCTTCTCCAGCAACAAAATACAAAAACTCTAAGGAACTAAAAATAATTGAGTGCATTTGCAGTTGGAGCCAGTTATGGACAAGAAGATACAAACCAAACAAAATCCCAACTGCCACTTAAGTGCTGGAAGCAAAAACAGCGTGCCAGGAGCAGAAACAGGGTACTTCACATGTCCCCTGCATTCAAAACCTTAGTCCAAAGAGGTGGGCAAACCACCTAAGCCACCCCACCAGCCTTCGAGATCCCTGGACACAACCCCAACTTCACCCCTTGCTCCGAACAAGCAACGGAAACTTGTTTTCGCCCTGCCCTGCTGCAGCAGAGACCTCAATAAAGCTTGCCTGAATTCCTTGTCTGGCCTCTCATCAATTTCTCTTGTTTAGGGAAGGCCAGGAACCCTGGTCAGTATCAGGGTTGCTAATATCACAAAAAAGAAAGACACTACATGCTCTCTGACAGAAGTACACACCACCTATAACAGTATTCTTACCACAATTTTGGATCTGAATTCGATCAAACCTCAAGACTTAGCTACCAGCTCACAAGCGATGCACAAGACAGAGGACTCCGTTAAATGACATGGGGGCGGGGGACCGGTGGTGAATCCAGAAGATCCAAAATATGGGAAACTCTCAGGACACAGGACTGGATATCCTTTGGTGAGGATATCCTCCTCATCAAATAAACTGAAGGGGAGAATATGAAGGGGAGCCTTAAAGGCTGAGAGACTTGATGTGCATCCTGACTTGAACCAACCGCGAAAACACCAACCAGCCATACAAAACAACTTTTATTGATCAAACAGGAAAATTCCAAATAATGACATTGGAATAATGACGTTAGGAATAATGGTACTGTGGTTGTATCTTTTTAAATCCTTTAACGCCTAGAAATGTATTCTGAGACATCCCTGGGCGAATAACCTGATCCCCTGGGTGAAGTGACAATGCTTAAGCCCAGGGATGGTCACCTGGAGGTTCATTATACTATTTCCACATATTTAAATTTCTTTTCACACATGAAAACCCAGAGCACGGTTGGAGTCGCGACGCTGTGCGCTCACGTGGCACCCGCGCGGCACCTCGCCCTCACCAGGTCTTGTTAAAATGACATGGGGGGAAAGCCCTATCCGCTCTAAGACTCGCGGTCAGAGTTAACATGGAGTCGGGACACCGTTCTCGGAGTCCCGGAGCAAAGTGCGGACGCCTGCGCTCCTAGTACGCTCCCTGGCCGCCTTTCCGTGAAGAACAAATGTCCGCCCGCTGGGCGGGTGAGCGCCAGATGTAGAGTAAAGCGGGGCCCTTGCCGCTCAGCTTCCGGAGACCCCGCTGTCCCCACTTCTCGCGATAGTTACCTCCCGCGAGCTGCTCCCTCCGAGGCTGCACAGGCGCACTGGCGAATGTAAGCGGAGTACAGCGTTTCGGCCTCCGCGTATTCCCCTTTCTTGAAATGAGCCTGGGCTAGTGCTAGGGCTGTGGGACTTTCCTGCCCTTGCTGCCCGTCCATGGCGGCCGGGGTCCTAGCTTTCCGTGTGGAACCGGGGGTTGATTTCTGAGCGATTAGAGCCGACAACCCACAGCCACTTCTGCACCTTGGAATTTAACTTCGCAAAAATCCTCGGCCCTAGCAGCCGGGGAATTTTGTGTCCTCCAAGGAACCGTCGTCTCGCGAGATCGGTGACGCTCCTGGCGGAAGGCTCCGGTCCTCCAGGAAAGCTTGAGCAGACGGTGCATTGGCCAAGTGCGCTCCTGCTGTAGGTGCTGGTCCCACTTGCCTGATTTCCAGAAAAGCAGTAGCTCGGTAGTCCCAAACTGGTTTCTAAGGCCGTGGCAGATGGTGGAATGAGCTTGCCCTTCATTACAGCGAATGGGGCGTGGGGGGGGGGGGGGCGGAGCGCGGTGTACATACACACACACACTGTACATGTATATTTCCAGAATATACAGAGAATTTCTAAACTTCAGTTTTTCCAGAGTGGGTGTACTACTTTGCATTTCCACCAGCTAGGCATTGGCCTTTCAGTTACTCCGTAGCTTCACCAACATTTGTCAGTTTCGATCCTAGCTATTATAGTGGGTGTGTAAAGATAGCTCCGTTTTCCTCTAAATTTTACTAACTAAAATTGTAAGTAGAATAACCAAATAAATGAGTAGATAAAGTAGTAACTCTTAAGTGTTTTAATGTCTTTTAATTTTAGAGAAATCTTAAGAACGAGATTATGAAGAAAATTTACAGAACACTGTTAGTTTCACCCCCGTTTTTTCTTATTCTAAATTCAATTAAAAGATAAATTAATGCCTTTTTTAAAAAAAAACTATTTTTACTTTCTCATCTATACTCTTTATGTACTTTTGAAGTTTTCTACCATGAACATGTTAGTTTTATACTCAAAAACCATTAAGTGTTCTTTTTTTTTTAATGAACTGAGAAAATGGTAAGAATAAACAGTAGGGGGCAACATAATATCGCTATTTTCAGTTTAGAAGCACAGTAGTAATACTTTGGAGCTATAACATCAAATTAGGAACTTTTGATTTTTCATTAAAGGTCTGGTAACAATTTTTCCCCCATTTCTAAATGTGGACTCTAGATGACCTCTTAAGGAGTTATTTGCTGCAACCGCCAGTTTATTTGCTGCAACCGCCAGTCATCAGACATTTGCCTAAGTTGTTTTCCTCTTGGTAGCAAAGGTGATACTGTACACCTTTTATTGTACCTCCTGTCTCTTCCTCCCTTTATCCACTCTGGAGCCCAATGCCCATCATCCCAACCCCCACCAAAATACTTAAGTCAAAAGAAGACAAATTATCATGTTATCATAAATTACAGGTAAAACACAATTTTACCTCAGCATTTATTTTTATATTTTTCACTGAATGCCACATAAAATCTAAGATCTCAGCTCTTAGAATACAAAAAGATAATTGCAAATTATATATTAGCAGAAATGTGTATACATAATTAGCATTTGGGCATCACAGCAGGACATAATACTCTGTTACTTATTGCATAGCTTTGTCAGTCAGGTCCATTATCTCAGTATTTTGGCCTACCCTGCTACTCTGAAACTTAACCTAACGTTCAGGCCAAATTTTGTGATAAAAAGAAGCATTACTTAAAGGGAGTCAGTTCGTGTTTATTACAAAAAGAAGACATTCATTATAATGCCTCATTCTGTCTATACAAATTCCCTCCACATATTTGTTACATATGACAATTTTGCTTCTCTTTGCCCCTTTCATCAGAGGAGAGTTATCTGGAAATTTCCTTCATGTTAAATATTTAAAACCAACTGAGTCAATTCATACGGGGAGTCTTTTTCTAGCACCACTTTCAAGCAGGACAAAGATCTATCTGTCCCCAAGACATTATGACAGATCACTAAAACATTCACAGATATAAATCCCAAACAGTCCTAAGCTCTTAAAACAGGTATGTCTGTCAATATATATATGAATATGAGGCATGTGGTTATATGTATGTGTATAAGTATATATAAACACATACATATATATATATGTGATAAGTATGTGTACAAGGTAGGAGAGTTTGTTTTTAAAGGTTTTGGTTTCTGTGTTAAACAGACCAAGAAGTAGTGACAATAACTCAGAATCTGTCTGAAATAACTAGTTGGAGGGAAAATTTGAGGGCTCAGGTAGCAAGGATTTAGTGGTAAATGAGAAGGCTCCAAAAGAAACTTCCCAAAAGAACTGTTAGGAAAAGTCTGAGGAATCAACAGCTGATTTTGAATTTAAGCAAATGGGAATGTAATCAACAAGTCACAGGAAGGACTGGAGAACGACAATCTAACTTAAGAGCTCTCAGCCGATTTCTGGGATGAGAAAGGGAAAAAAGAGATATTCAGGCATTAGGACCAAGAACCAAAAATCACAACTCTGAACATGCAGTCCTGAAGGAATCCTTAAACCTACATCTCTGAAAATTTCTCTCATTAATGAAGTAAACTTTCATTCCTGAAAATAGAAAATCTTGTGGGAAGATGTAGTTACCTTCAACAGGAGATGCATCCTCTAGGGCCAATGTCTTTGTCAGGATGCTATTTTCTTTTTTTTTAACCTAGGGAAGATTTGCTTTTTAAAAAAATTTTATTCTATATTATAGTTGATTAGCAATGTTGTGTTAGTTTCAGGTGTACAGCAAACTGATCGGTTATACATATTACATTTGTTCTTTTTTTAAATTCTTTTCTCCATTTAGGGCTTCTCTTGTGGCTCAGCTGGTAAAGAATCCACCTGAAATGCAGGAGACCTGGTTTCGATCCCCGAGTTGGGAAGATCCCCTGGAGAAGGGAAAAGCTACCCACTCCAGTATTCTGGAGAATTCCATAGTCTGTATAGACCATGGGGGTCACAAAGAGATGGACCCAACTGAGTGACTTTCACTTTCACTTTTCCCCATTTAGATATTATAGAATATTAAGCAAGAGTTACCTATGCTATACATAGGTCCTTGTTGGTTATCTGTTTTAAATATAGCAGTGTGTACATATCAATCTCAAACTTCCAATCTATCTCTCACCTCCCCAACCCTTCCCCTAGATAACCATGTTTGTTCTCTAAGTCTATGAGTCTGTTTTATAAGTAATTTCATTTGTATCAGTTTTCTAGATTCTACATATAAGCAATATCATATGATATTTGTCCTTCTAGGATGTTATTTTCTGATTTGAGGGGAATACTATATTCTGTCATAGAAGAAAACAAATGAGATTGATGAAACATACTATGTTAAAATCAGATAAGTTAGAAACTTATGAGACATGTTATACAAAGTAAATACAGCATATTTGTGTGACTATACCTAATATTGGGCTTCCCAGGTGGCTCAGATGACAAAGAATCTGCCTGCAATGCGGGAGACATGGGTTTGATCCCTGGGTTGGGAAGATCCCCTGGAGGAAGACATGGCAACCCACTCCAGTATTCTTGCCTGGAGAGTCCCCATGGACAGAAGAGCCTGGTGGGCTACAGTCCATGGGGTCACAAAGAGTCAGACATGACTGAGCGACTCAGCACAGCACAGCACATCTAATATTGATGAAGATACAAAAGGTAACCAAGGCAGTAAGTATTCATGGCACAGTGGGTGTGCAGGAGGCTTAGAAGATGCTCAGTATGTGTGAGGACTTGACTCAGTGACCCACTGATGACACCTGTCCTCTAGCCAGGAAATACAACTGAATCCATGACTGCTCAGCAGTCTCAGAGGCACCTACAGCTGGGACCAGGGAAACCTGCCTCCTCCTTAGAGCAAGTGTGCCTCACTGGCCTCAGGCACATTCTACTTGACTGAGTCCCCCAGTCTCAACTGTGGTCCTCTTCCTGGCCACACCATTAGGGGGAAGCTGGTGAGGAAGAGAGAGAGTGAGGACATAGAACTGTACATAACTCAGGAATCGAGAACTGGAATCTGTGTGCCTGACCAGCATCCTTCACTAACAGTGTTAATCTCTCCCATCACTCTCTCCTTGTTCCTCACTGTGTACATTAAGTTGATTCAGTAAACCATGTGACTTAGGCATCATTTTTTGGTGTGTAATCCTTTGTGTTCCATGACTTCTGGAATGACTTGCCTGGTAGTGTATTTGGAGGCTACCATTTATCAAGGTAACTTTCCACAAGGCACATGGACACAGAGACTTAGAAGACTTCTGGTCTTCTCGTTTTAACTAGGCACAGCAACCCACTATCTACATGAACTCATTTAAGCTCCAAACCTCTCCTCATAGCTCACTATTCTCTATCTGCTACAGGCCTAACTTGTCTCTAAAGGACCAAAAACATAATACATTTGGATTAACTAACCTAAGTACTGAAGCTGCAACATCAATGTTGTATATTTCTCTTTATTGCCTCTATTAAATGTCAGTCAAACTTCAGTAAATAATCTTGATAAAATAGTGCTAAAGTCTGGTTTGCAGCCACATAATAAAAAGATGTAAGTTCATGGGAAATAAGAGAACATTATTAGCTATATAAAATAGATAAGAAATTATGCATGACTGATTACAGTTTTTCTTTTTAAAATTAATGACTAAATCAAAACAGGTACTTATTGAGAATCACTCAAACCCAAGAGTTGTTTAGATAAAAGGTCCAGCTTGGTGACAATGTTTCAACTAAAACTATAACTACAAACTGGATGTTTTCTATAAATTTACATCATCATAAATGGAGTCAAGTGTTCTGCACAATATTATGAAGAGTACATGCCAACTGCCATCTCTTAGATGAAACTAAGAAAGTGGGTAAAAAGGAAAAGATAGCAAAAATAAGTTATTTGGGTTTCCCTGATGGTCCAGTGGTTAAGAATCTGTCCTGCAATACAGGGGACACCAGTTTGATCCCTGGTCCAGGAAGATCCCACATGCTGCGGAGCAACTAAACCTGTGTACCGAGCCTGCATTCTGGAGGCCGTGAGCCACAACTACTGGGCCCACACGCAGCAACCACTGAAGCCTGCGAGCCCTAGTGCCTGCGCTCTGCAACTAAAGAAGCTGCCGCAATGAGAAGCCTGCGCGCCACAACTAGAGAGTAGCCCCCACTTTCCGCAACTAGAGAAAGCTTGGATGCAGCAACGATGACCCAGAGCAGCTATGAAAATAAAAAATAAATTTTTAAAGAGCTATTAGAAACAATTTAAATTGTAAAAAAAAAAAAAAAAAGTCTTTAAATGCTTTTTTATCACTTCTGAAAGTAAAACAGAGAACATTTTCAATGCTTATTTAATTAAACACAGCTAGAAACAGAGCTTATTTCAGTATTACAATTGTTTAATCTGCCTCTGGGCTTTCCAGGTGCTGCTGATGATAAAGAATCCGCCTGCAGGTACAGGAGACACAGGTTCAATCCCTGGGTCAGGAAAATCCCTTGGAAGAGGGCATGACAACCCACTCCAGTATTTGTGCCTGGAGAATCCCATGGACAGAGGAGCCTGGCAGGCTACAGTCCATGGGGTCACAAACAGCCAGGCACAGCTGAGTGACTGAGCACGCACGCCCACAACCTCCTAAGACAGGTTATGTCAATTCCCTAAACTCAACTTTGCTCCACTCTCACACTTCCCCATCCCTCTCCATCAAAAATGTTTAATGAATTAGTAACCTTGACACCGTGAGAAATTTTTTTTCTTATTTGGAATATTTCCGTAGTATCATAAAAACCACCAACCTATTATGGTCAATTTCTATATCTTTTATATGAAAATCAGCATCATTATTTCATAGTTGTATTTTTACACAAAATTATATATATACATAACATGTCTATGTGTATATATTACTGGGTTTTGTTTTTCTTCCCTTCCTGATCTCTGTCTTGTACAGAGGTCAGCTTCAGTCCTTCCAGCTTCCAGAGTATTGCCTTATAAGACTACTGCTCTTCCAGACCCATGTCTCACTTCCGATACCATTAGTGATACTAGAGTAGACATCTGTGGTACACCCTGCCCTTCTTCGTGGACCCTGGGATTGTTCTAGGGATGGGCACTGATCCCAGCCTGGCCATTTAGCAATTTTTTCCCCCTTCATTTCAAACTTGAATTAAGAGTGGTAGTCCCTTCTTAATGGTGGAGATAGTAAGATGCTATATTTCCTGATATATGAAGAAAGCCAGTCTGGTTTTTTCATATCTCACTGCCTCATATTTATTTTACCCTTTATGAAAATCCAAAAGAACAGCCTAGCAGAGTTGCCCCACCACATGCAGGTGACCTTCTCTTTACTCATTCTGTCTCAACTGTGGATTTCTCAACAGATGACCCAAAGTTCAGAAGCCAGTGAGGCATAACCAGTTTCTGTCATATATATATACATATTTGTATAAAAATACAACTCTGAAATAATGCTGCTTTTTACATAAACTGTATGGAATCAACCTTATTATATAAACTCTCCTGGTATATGCAGTTGGTCAGTTCTTCATCCCACTGCACTATGGCATAAGGGACAGAAGTTGTAGTTATTTATTTCCTGAGCCAGGACACAATGCTTACACACACTGCACATCCAGAATTGATATTCAGTAATTGGGCTTCCTGTGGCAACACACGTTGGCAGTTTCCCTTCCCCTCTGTAAAAATAAGAGGAGAAAGAATTACACTTTAAAATGTCTAATCACTTAAAACCTTATTTATTACACTAAAAAAAAAAAAAAACCTGAAGAATGGAAAACATTTCAAGGTAAATTTCAAATAAAAACTTTTCTTGCAATGAGAAATCATTAATATACTGTTAAGACTAAAGGAAATAGGCTTTGAGTATAATGTTAAGGTGGCTTGTTGTTAGTCGCTCAGTGGTGTCAGAATCTTTGTGACCCCATGATCGGTAGTCCACCAGGTTCCTCTGTTAGTGGGATTTTCCAAGCAAACATACTAGAATGGGTTGCCATTTCTTTTCTCCAGGGTATCTTCCCAGCCCAGGAAGTGAACCCCCATTTCCTGCACTGCAGGTGGATTCTTTACTGCTGAGCCGCCAGGGAGTTAAGGTATGAGAGTTTAAAATTTAGTGATTTCATCATTATACTATACAATTTAAATATAAAAATCTATATAAAAATGACATCTACTAATTACGGTTGGCTTTACCCTTCAAGAAGTCCGTCCAATTCAGATTTTCTGTTATCTTTCGGAGTATGTTTGGTGAAGATTTCTAGAGCAAGATCTTCATATTGCTGCTTCTGTTCCGAACTGAGGGTCTCTAAAGATTCGAGTTTAATAAAAGCTTTTGAACAAGTACCAAAAGCTCTAGTGGCACACGCACAGAGTGCTAACAGAGAGTAGATCTCAACTGCAGGGATGATGTCTTCATAGTCTCTCAGGTGAAGAGCTAGGAAAGAGAAGGCAGTTTGGATTGTGTAAAGCAATCACACCATCATGAACACGCATGGGGAAGAATGTTAGGCTGGCTCAGTTTAACCTACATGAAGGTTAGCAAAGTTAATGAGAACAATGGTAGGTGATCAGAGAACTAGTAGGGGAAGTAAATGACCACCAAATTCTGTAACACCAGCCAACAGCTCAGGGCCTATAAAAATTACCACCACCAAATGACGCACATGGCTGCACCACTCAGAAATATACCAAAAATTATTGGTGTCAAAATACACTGCAGATATAAATATATATAAACATATTATTATTATTGTATAATTATAATTTTTATATGTGTTGTATTTATAAAACATTTATATCTTCCATATAAATGTTAGAAATTTCTGTGGATTCTCAAAACAGTATCATGTTTCCTTTTGTTTAAAAAAACAAAAGCGAAGTATGAAATCGTGTTTTCTCTTCGTGTTTCTTTGAACAGATTACTGCTTTTCAGTCTATCTTATTGAAAAAATAGAACTTTGAGAAAAAAGGAAGTGAAACTGAGTCTCTAAGTTATCAGCTCAGATAGTTTATTTTGATTACCACATCTAATCTTCACAGGCTGCAGGGCATGGCCAAAAGAGAAAAAAGTGTTACTGAAGTTAATATAAGAGTAACTTGAAGGAGTTTGCCCTTCATATTTAATTTATGACTTTTAAGACATGTTGCATATATGAGTTACTACACCTACCTGTCTTCAGTGCAGTGTCAACATAGCCCGCATAGAGCTGTCTTTGCGCCAGTATGAAGAAGTGATAAGCCTCAGCCCCTCTCCAAGCATTATCAGTGAAACAACTACTTGTCGACAGAACTTCTTCTTCCAGCAAACCAGCCAAAGCAGAAGTGGCCTACAAATAAAGCAGACCCACATCTGCTGTCAGCACAAACCTAACAACAGTCCTTCCAATAGAGATGATTTCTGAAACTGTTATACATTAAAATATCTAGGGAAGGAGACTTCCCTGGTGGTCCAGGGGAAAACAGTCCGTGCTCCCAATGCAGGGGGCCCAGGTTTGATCCCTGGTAGAGGAACTAAGATCTCGCATGCCACAACTAAGTCCACAAATCCTAACTACTGAGCCTGTGCACTGCACCACAATGAAGACCCAGCACAGCCAAAATAAATAATAATAAAAAATTAGCATATTTCATCGTTACAGAACTGTCACCACAGACTTCTCTGTTATAATTCATACTTTTTTAAACTGACATGATCAATTTTTTCTTCAGTTTTACTGAGGTATAATCAACAAATCAAATTGTAAGAAATTTAAAGTGTAGATTGTGGTGATTTCATATACAGATATATTGTGAAAGGATTCTCCTCCCCAAGGAATAATCAAATTTTTAAATAGAATTGATTAAACTCTATGTTAATACAATGCTCACTTACAATTTAAAAAATACACATATTTCTATGGAAGCGTTTAAAACTCACTGATTAAAAAGGATTTACCAAAAAAGGAATTAATCAAAGATTACAGATTAGTAAAAAAAAAATCATTTTCAATATTTCCAAATTGAGATGTCTAAATGTGAGTACTAATTCCAAATCATTTATTCTTTTTCCTACTATCATTTAAGAAAATAAATGCAAACAAATAAGTACATTAAATGGTCTATCCATAAAGAGAAGTTTGATCATTTTGGTTTTTTTTCCCTTAAATGCTTCACATGACTTAACATTACTTAATGTTCCACCTTACCTCTGAGCTCTTTCCTTTAACTTTGCCTCGTTGGGCATTTTTCATTTGTTCATGGTACTGCTCTATAAGTAAAGCTGACAGCACATAGAGCTTCTTCACACGTAAAGGTTTAGTTCTTTTCTTTGCCTCTTCATCTGCAATCTTTAAATATTTAAAGAGTTGGGGGAAGATATTTCTTAATCTATGTTTGTACAAATGTTCTCATTTCTGAAATCTGATTCTCTAAAATGAGGAGGAAAGTCAGTAGGGTGAAATATAAGTACCATCTGTTTATGACAAATATTAAAACACATTTTCTTTTCCTTAGTACTGATAAGTAATTAGTTATTTCCTTAGTATTTAACCATTGGAATTAGAATGCAAAACAATTTTAGAAAATAACAGATGCTGATAAATAATTCAGAGTGAAGAAAGCTTTCATTGAAAGGCTAGTATTTTATATAACAGATTTTTAAAATAATTTTCAAGTACCTAGAGATAAGATGGCTTTACCATGGTACATCTCCAGAAATTTAAATCTGTTTAAATGATTCAAAGGAAATTTTTCCTTTGTCATTAAATCAAATGGTAGAAGAATAGAACAGAATGTAAAATTTGCTTACGTTAATTCCATACTAGTCATGTTCCCTCCAAATGCCTACTATGAAACGTGTAACATCTTTAAAACTTGCACATTTAAAAGGACTTGAAAATTTATTAACAGGATTAATTTCCAGTTACAGGAACTTGTACTTTATAGTAGTTGAAAATTCTCTAATTGTTAACTTCCGTATTAAGTAAATATACAGTTTTTTAGGAATCAGTAAGAGTACATCATGAGAAACGCTGGGCTGGAAGAAGCACAAGTGGGAATCAAGATTGCTGGGAGAAATATCAATAACCTCAGATATGCAGATGACACCACCCTTATGGCAGAAAGTAAAGAGGAACTAAAAAGCCTCTTGATGAAAGTGAAAGAGGAGAGTGAAAAAGCTGGCTTAAAGCTCAATATTCAGAAAACTAAGATCATGGCAACTGGTCCCATCTCTTCATGGCAAATAGATGGGAAAACAGTGTCAGACTTTATTTTGGAGGGCTCCAAAATCACTGCAGATGGTGATTACAGCCATGAAATTAAAAGACACTTACTCCTTGGAAGGAAAGTTATGACCAACCTAGATAGCATATTAAAAAGC